TAGACATAACTTGCGAAAAAGTAATGTAGAACTATTTTATGCAATTTAACCTCTTAAGCCCTAAGGCCTATTTTCCGAAAATCCTATACATTCACTTTATAAGGCATTTCTCAGCTTTTACAAGGTCTAAACTGCAAATCTTGGTATCAAAATGAAGATGGGTTCTTGGGGGGTGGTGTGGATGTGTGTTTCCATATTTGGTCATGTTATGCGAGCGCAGAGCTACAGAAAAGAGCCAAAAATGAGTTTCTGCGAAGCTATCGACCAGATATAACAACACGGACAAAAAACGGACTTTTATCGCTATGGAAATAACTTTTGTTGAAAAAATGGCAAAGGTAAGACAAGATATACTTGCTTTGTTTTTGCTGTTTTTTTTTGGGGGGAACTTTCGCTCCCTGCTCTGAAATACTTTGCACCATGTAAATGAGTTGCATATCGCTGGATTCCGCAGGTTGTTAGCTTTCATTTGATGCCATGGTTTTGGTGTTTACATTTACATTGTGGATACATATCGAACAAAAACTTGGTCATGAATTATACTCCGGATATGTTGTTGTTTATTTGCATGGCGTTCGAGCTGTGGTTCACGGATATGACATTGAATTAGATACGTTTTTAGAGGAGTTTCCGCTGAGCACAACAGTATTTAATATGTGTGGGTTACTCTCAGGGTTAGTGAGCTATGAGCGAAAATGTAACGCACAAGGGGGCAAGTCCCTGGTACCGGGGACTCTCGGGCTTAAGAGGTTAAAGAACTACTCCGAAATCGATATGGATCCAGATTGTTAGGCAGACTCAACAATGTGATTGATTTAGATAAAAACATATGACAACTTTTGGATGTTTAATAGAAAATATTGTCTGAGAAAGAACAGGAAGTTACATCAAAACAGGAAGTTACATCACAACAGGGAGTTACAACCATCTACTTCGGAATCGATAAGAAATTAGACTGATCGGCAGAGTCAACAATGGGATTGATATTGCTAAAAACCACTCCAGGAACGACCCAGACACATCAGCGGTCACGGAAATCGAATAAGGTGGGAGAGCAACCGTATTTGGGTGTGTAATGGAACAAATCATCGACTCTCTGAAAGCACCCTTAATGCTTTATAAGTGAATCAACTGTCTCCTGGGTGAAGTGCGGAGGTGAACGCTATTGACGAGAATTACAAAAACATGTCTTGGAGCTTTCAAAGTTTCAGAATGAGAAAGGATGGAACAAAAGCACTGAATCGTGCTACTATGGAAACTATGCATGTTGGCAGCCAGAGAAGTAATGGATGATTAACAGCACACATTTCTCTTCAAACTGATCATCCAGCAACCTTGAGCATTGTAAAAGATAAAATACTGAAAGATTGTGCTTGTGAAGGTTGGAAGTATTTGGATTTGTGAGGCTAACATGAGTCGACCAGTTGCGTTACAGTCTGTCAGCTTGGAGAACTCACATGAGCAGACTGCCGGGCGCAGACATGGATCTCTCTTCTCTCCTGCTGGGACATTCGAATGGATTCCCAAAGGAACGCTTCCTCAACATGGCTTTCACCAGGATCTGAAGAATCACAAAAATGTTTTCTCAGATATTAAACACATTAGTGAAAGCAGATCCTGTAAGGGTCCGTGGTATACTGTTCTCTATTGTTCTCTAATTCAACTAACGAAACGCAGTTCTCTTTATCGTGAGATCTTAAACGCACCACAGCGGAGAGACTGGGGACAAACTTCACAGAGTTCTGCACTTCCTCTTCTGTCACCTCCACCACAGTACAGTGCTCTTCTTCCAGGGGTAAAGGATCTGTACCATCCACAGTGACCCAGGGGTCCACCTGAATAAAACATTCAGAGACCATTAGTCTCCAAATACTTGTGGTGAGTATATTATTAATTCATTCATTCATTTTCCAATCCGCTCATTCCCTTTTTCGCCCAATGTGTCTCCAGCACACATTGGCCGAGAGCCGGGGGTACACCCTGGACAGGTCGCCAGTGCATCGCAGGTGAGTATATTATTCATCTTTTTATGGTTCTCCAACAATTTGTGTACTTTATATACGAATATAACTTTATAAAATATATATACTTTATATCCATTCATCCATCCATCATACGCAAACCAATGTTTGAACCGTCTGTATGGATTACCCTCCGATATTCAGCAAACAAATGTCAACAATCCATCAACTTATTATTTGTTTTCATCCATCCATCCATTTGTCTGTCCGCCCATCCATCATTTACACATCCGTCTTTTCATCTCTTACATCCACGTGTTCAGAATCAGAATGAGCTTTATTGCCAGGTATGTTTGCACATACGAGGAATATGTTTTTGTACAGAGGCACTACAGTGCAACAGATTCACAAGACAAGACAAGATACAGGTAATAAAAAAAATTAAATGTAAATCCAAATTTACAAAATAGACATTCTAAATTTACGAAATAGACATTCTAAATTTACAAAATAGACATTCTAAATTTACAAAAGGACATTCTAACACAGTATAAAAATAAAAAATAGACATAATACATAAAATCAAAAATAGACTTTAAGTCGTGCGAGTGGAAATGGAAATATGTGCAAAGGAATGGTCTTCAATATCCATCTATCTTTCCCCCATCTGTACAACCACCCACTCATGTATGCATGTGTCCATCTATACATCCATCCATAAATTTGCACATCCCTCTGTCCATCCATTCACTCATCAATGAATGTGTCCATGCATCCATCCATCCATGTATGTGTCCAACCATCCATCCACCCATCCATGCATGTTTTCATCCATCCTTCCATGAACATGTCCAAATCCATCCATCCATCTACCTACCCACTTATATATGTATGCATCCATCCTTCCATCCATCTACTGATCCATCATCAATAAATCCATCCCTTCATCCATCAATGAATGCGTCCATTCCTCAGTCTGTCCATCCATCCATCCATCCATCCGTCCATTTACCCTTCTATACATCCATCTATCTGCATGGCACTTGCAACATCAGAGGTCACAGATTTGATACCAAAATTCCATTTTTTTCAAGTTGCTTTGGATACAAGAGTTTGCTAAAAACATAAATGTAAAAAAGTAGCCGTTCAACAATCTGTAAACAGAAAAACTTTTAAAGATCCCTGCATCCGAATCTTTCCTCCCTTTATTCCTCACATTCAGTCATTCATGCAGCTTTCTTTCAAACATGTGAGGCCTTAATAAACTGAAAACATTTCTCCTAAAAACAGAGAGCCAGCGCAGACTGAACTAATGAGTGAATGTAGGCTGTGTTGCTCTGGGGATCACTGCATTAATGGAACTGGTTTTGGGTAATGACATGCAGTCTCTGATGGTTGTGTATTCCAGAGCCAACCCTAGGCTCTCTTTGAATCAAACACTCCTTGACTGATATTTCTCACTTAACCTGAAGTGATTTCTAGCACAGAAAACACTAATAAAACATAATAAAAATGGCCATTTTTTCCAGTTTGAAAAGCTTCACCCTTCACAGATTCTTCAAAGATCTTGTAAGAAAGTGAAGAGACAATGAAGATAAAGTGGATCCAGTTGCCACTCACAGAAATACAAGTGCTCTTTTGATTCTTCTATGGCCTTACTTTTATCTCAGGAATGGTGATCCTAGTGTCTGGGTTTTTGTCCAGCATTCGTGTGATCAGTTTCTTCAGTCCCTCACTGATGGCTGGCCTGAGACAGCACAAAAGCAGAGCACCAAATGTTAAAATTCATTTTTTGAGGTTTGAACAAACACACAAATATTCATGAAAAGTACAGATTCAAGTGCAGCAAACATGTAAAAGATGTAAAGGGTGTGTTTTAGATGCCCAAACTGCCCACTTACATCTCAGGGAACTCCACCAGTTTGCTCTTGATCTTGTTGTGAAGTGCCAGAATGTACTCATCAATAAATGGACACTGGAGGACAAAAAGAACATTAATGAAAGAGAAGGACAGGAGAGATATGAGTGATATAAACTATCAATCACATAAATGTCACAGCCCCAGCGCCTTCCATTGATTATTCTGAAACATAATCTCACAGTGATAAACTACTGTGATCAGCCCAGCACAGGAGCCCACTCACCTTTCCATACAAGAAGCAGTAGAGCGTCACTCCCATCGCCCACACGTCCAGAGCCTAGAGAACCCAACAACTATTAGACCGACACACATAAAAAAAAATGAATAAAACTACAAATATATTCCAAATGTCAATGTGTTGTTTGGAATGCTGAACTATTCATGTTAAAGAATAAACTTCATGGAATAAAGACTACTATATATTTTAAAACTTACAGATTGTTCTAATCACAGTTTTTTTGAGTATTTCCTGCTTAATTACAGCGTAGGCATCGAAGTGAGGCAGCACCGAGCCGTGCCTCTCTTTGGATGGTGCAATCTCTAGCAAACTGGGTTGACCACGTATGCAATGCTTTATTAAAATGTTTTTTACGATAGGTAGTGTATTTTACAGATTTCACAGGGTTTACCAAAGTTCGAGCAAGCAGCCAGGAAAGATGAGTCTGCAACTTCGCTAATGGAGGCCCTAAAAGGATATTTTACATCACAGATCTCCGCCTGTGAGGATAACATTGTTTCTTAAGCACAAACTTTTAGATATTTCTAAAAGAATATCAGGAGAGACGAGATCCTGATTTTATCACTTACACAATTGCCATGGCAACGTTTCTTCTCATAGTATTATTGGCGCCTGACATCATTAGCATTTTCTGTAATGACCACTGCACATAATTTTAATAAACAGTATGGTGGTGCCAGTGACATAAAATAATGTCAATATGAGTAAAATTAATTAACCCCTATGCCACTATGAATTCCCCAAGCTGCTCAAAAGATCAGGATTGGTTGCAAAGGTAAACAGTCTGGTTGCTATGGAGAACTCCACGACAATATAATGATCCCAATGTCAATATGAGCAAAATTAACCACCCTCAATGTCTCTTTGATTTTTAAAATCTTTTCCTGTGGCTCAGTTGGTAGAGCATTGCGCTAACAACGCAAAGGTTGTGGGTTCAAATCTGTTCAAAAATTAAAATATGTTCATTCAAATGTAAGTCGCTTTGGATAAAAGCGTCTGCCAAAGGCATAAATGTAAATGTAAAAGTTGAGATATAGAATGCCAATTGGTTGCTATGGTAAATTGTCTGGTTGCTATGGAGAACTCTGTGATAATATAATGTTCCCCATGTCAATATGAGTAAAAATTACCAACCTCCATGTCTATGACTTTCACAAGCTGAGATAGAGATATGCCAAACTGGTTGCTATGGTAAACAGTTCGGTTCCTATGTTGAAAACAGTGACATAATATAATCTTCCTTGAGTCAATATGAGTATGGTTGCTATGGAGGACTCAGTGACAAACCGGTTGTAGTACCTCAAACGACCTAGGACGAGATATAATTTATAATTTGGCTCAGAAGAAGAAGGAGAACATGAAATAATAATACGTTCACACACAATAACAATATGACGGAAGGTAAGAGCGGTGTGCAAATCATGTGTGACCCAATATGTGGCTGCTAAGGGTATGGAAAGAATGGTGATTTGAGATATGAAACACTATCAGAAGCCTGTTAATTTATTCTCTGCCACCGATGCTCTGCTTATATTGGTGACTCTACCTCTGAAAGTGTCACCAGCCACAAGCCTCACTGCATATATATATATATATATATAATATTAACATTTCTGTGGCTTCAAGAACCATTCTGACATCTTTACCTTTCCGCTGAAGCTCTTGCGGTTGTCAGACAGAGTCTCTGGTGCCATGAATGCTGGAGTCCCTGCGGTGCTGGAGAGCAGAGCATCACTCCCCTCAAACTGGTTACTGACCCCGAAATCTGCAATCTTAACATGGCCGTCATCTCCAAGCAGCAGATTAGAAGGTTTGATATCCCTGTGAATGATCTTCTGATAGTGCACTGAGGCAAAAAAGAGAGAGAATATGAGAAGAAATGAGAAATCACGAGTCTAGAATGCCACATTAAATTGATATTTCAATAATATAAGTGCAAATCAGTTTAAAACTAGGCAGTTGGTGTAAACCCCGTTTGGCCAATTTGTAAACCCTGTGGTCACCAGATACTAACAACTGATTTGGGGGTCCTTCGGACCCTTAATTGTCAGGTCCCCTTTAACATCCAAAAGCACGTTTCCACCACCATGTTTGACAAAGTGGATGGTGTTTTTGTGTTAATGACAGCATAACTTGATGCCAAACAGCTCGAATTTGCCCTCACTCCTCCACACTTTTCAGTTGCAGTCCTTCACATCATAGCATGTTTCCAGTTGTTTTCTTGGTGACTCATCTGCCTTAAAACATTTACAAACTGGTGTTTGGTGATGGTCTTGTAGCCCATTTCTGCTTTTTGTTGGTCAACAATCATATCTCTGGCCATTGTGGAGACATATCTCAGTTGGTTACTGTTCTGCCTTGAGGCTTAGGTTTTTTTGAAGCTTTGGAATTTTGAGGAAAAAGGACTCTCAGACCTCGCTACTAGGCCCCCGGAAAGGATTATTTTGCATAATCTTAAATTCTATTTGATTTTATTGTGTGTAACTGTTTTTCCCATAATATTCCCTAGATATGACGAACACAAAACCTATAAGAAAGCTACCTACCTCTTTTTTATTTTTTAAATGATTATTATACTAATATAAGTGCTTTTGTTGTCATTCGATCTCTCACTGTGGAAAATGAAACCTACGATAACATTTTACAACCTCACAATTTTGTCGTGGAGAAACATTCAAAATCAGCAGGGGCTTAATATCTAATTCTTTCTTTCCATCACTGTAAAAGTTCAGCATCAGAAAACATTGATACTGTAAGATCCATCCCTTTGAGATACAGTTTCACCAATATAAAGTGCAAGAACCACAGTATGAAACACATCAAAAACACGCTGTCTGAGGTAAATAAAGAAGAATATTCATTCCTCAAGCTAAACTTTACTTTTCATTAACTATGACCAAGATTAACTGGAGAAAAGATCAGCTGTTCTTAAACACCACAGGGAAGAAAAGGATGAAAATTAATTTTGAAGTTTGCGGGAGAACAGGACGTCCCCAGGGAACTGTATAGTTTAAGGTCACTCAGGTACACAGATTGAAGCTGAATTTGATTGGTTAATACATGCCTTCCAGTCTCAAGGGCTTAATCAAAGAGAGATTCATCCAGCACTTCTCATCATTCCCTTGCGTGTTTATACGGCTAATATGCGATATAAACATCTAAAAGAATATCCAGAGAGGTAAAGTATGTGTGTTCATAGTACCATGGAGCTATTAATTTATTTTTTTTATTTATTGATTTATAAAGCACCTTCCACCACCAGTCAAGAAGGCCCAAGGTGCTGTACACAAGGAGAACAAAAACAGAGCACTGTGTAATAGTAAGGCATAAAAAGAATAAAAGACATAAAACCAAGCAAAACAATTTTATAACAAGGATAAACACCATTAAAACAAATTTAAAACAGAGATAAAAAAGCAACATAAAGTAGAATAAAAAGCTAGGCTGATGCTAAAAGACTGTAGTGGAGGAACAATTCTTTTAAAACACTCCAAAAGCGTGATCTCCCTAATAGCTGGTGGCAGCTGTTTAATAATTAAACGTAATTATTCCACCAAAAGAATAAATCAGAACCAGGAACAGTGATCCTTATTGTGTAATTATCACAACAGCTTTGAATCATTCTTATAAATTCGAACCTTTTATTTAGTTCCTGATGTAGCTAGGGTTGGAACTAAATCAACAGAATATTGGTTAATAATCCGATTGAAGTGATTGACTCAACAAACAGTCTGTTGCCATTCAGACAGAATTGAAATAAAACATTGCACTGACGAGTTCAGCAAACATTTCAACCAACCGTTGGTTGAACTACCATCTAGTCCAGGGGTATTCAACTAAAATTGAAAGAGGCCCGGTTTCAGGACTTTTGGGGAAGCGAAGGTCATAACGTTAAACTATTTACTGCAATATATTATTAAGTATCTGCATGTAATCAATACTTGAAAGACAAATTAATTCAGTGCAATTGAAGATTGTAGATTCAGGTTTTGAATCAAAATGCCTGGTTTGTCTGCAGCTCTGGGTCCGTATGGTACAGCTTCTGGCTCCTGGGGGCCGCCTGTTACTGACCCCTGATCTAGTCTAAATGGTTAATATGGATAGTTCTCCTTGGAATGGTTTATAATCTACATTTGAATGAATATTTGAACGGAGATGTTTAAAGGTAAGCTGTGGCCAGTGAGGTAAACAGACTGGGTAGCCAATCAGCAGTAAGGGACGTGTCTGAGTTTGAGGCCTCCGCCTGAGAGCGCAGCATGTGCGAGGAGGGGCTATTTTTAAAAATTCTGAAAAGGTGGGGGGAGTGTTTGTTTGCCTTATTTCAAACGTTAACATCGACACCCAAAAGATCGCACACCCCATCTTTAACAGCAAAACATTTACATCAATCATTTCCTTAAAGTATTAATTTAGGAATATATTAACCTTACTAACCACAGATCTTAGGCTTTCTCACATCATTCTGCATATTCATGGAATCCCCCTGATGGTATTGTGTGATGGATAAGTATCGGCCTGCATTTCTCAGAATTGAGAACACTACTATTCCTGAACTCAATTTGTGTAAATGCTGCCACAAACATTCAAGGAACCTCCACCGTGCTTCACTAATGCCTGGAAACACTAATTAATGCACCACTAGGTAAATTCCTTCTTGCATACTTGAAACTTGTGGCATTGATCCCACTTCAGAGGTGTGTTTTTATTGGCACAACTTCATTACGTGTTTCTGTGGATTAGGAAATGCCATTAAACATGCCTTATCACCTCAAACAGTAAAGAAAAGAACATGTTCTGAAAGAAAATTACATGAACTGGGAAAATAAATCATCTTAAGCATCGCCTCCCAGGGGAGAGAGAGAGTGAGAGAGAGAGAGAGAGAGATTCCTCTCAAGTCGGAGCTCTCATGGGCCGTGATTTTTATTTTACATAAGTAAAGATTAATATGATCTACTGAGGCTGCTTCTCTGGTGTAACCATTTCAAAATCTATGTCACTGTGGTCTCCTTAGAAACTGAAAATGGAACCCACCGAGGTCAACATGGCAATTTCAAAACAGCTCTTAAAAGAAAGGCTGTGACTCACAGTATTCAATGCCCAGCACAATGTCTCTGAAGTAGTTACGGGCCTGGTCTTCAGTGAAGGGACTATCACATGGCACCTCCATCACAGGCCTGAGGACCAGAAAACACACTTTGTTAACTGGTGATTCCTTTACAATAAAGATAAAGAAGCTAAAGATGAATGAGATGAAGCCAGTAAAAGGAGTTTTTGATGTCTGGACTAAAAGGTATGTAGTTGCTTTTACCTATAAGATTTACATACAATACTTAAAAATGTTCCAAGCATACACATTTTTGCTGATAAAAGCTGTATTTCAAAGAGTTTGGTTCCAAAACACGAGAAAAGCAGCTTCACTTTACAAAATGCTTCAAATAGTCCTCCTCTGTGTCTTTGCCTTTCTTTCAAACCAAATTCAACCAATCCAAGGCACAGTTTTCATGACTGTCAATGCAGCATCTGGTCAGTATGCAACCTCATTAGTTTTGTCTTTTCTAGCAATAAAAAATGAGTTATTATGATGAGCCTGGAAGCGAAAGCCACAATTAAAACACAATAGAATAGACAAGAAATACCAGTGATCTCCTGCTGCTCCCCAAAGGGAAAAGCTTTTGCCAGTAGGATTGCTGAACTGTAACTTTCAGTACAGCACTAGCTGATTTCATCTTATGTTCCTTCATTAACCAAATTAAAAGGCAGTTTAAAGTACAGCCACTAAACTTTCCGAAAACATTAAAATCGTGTTGCTATAACTTTTTAGACTGGTATGACTAAAGGAATTCTGGGAAATTACTGAGAATTCTGGGAAATGTTCCATTGACTTAACATGGCGTCAACAAAGATATCTTCAAGATTAAACACCATAGAAAAAAAGGGGGTTTGTTTATGTT